CTAGCAACTAGCCTCCTTGGAGTTTCTTCAGCCCAGGAACACGACTTGCTTCGTAGCCAGATGCAAACATTTTACACTTTCACCAAATGTCTGTGAAGCGTTTTCCAGTGCCTCATCTCATTTGATCCTCACGGAAGTCCTGGAGTAGGTAGATAGGAGACTCGGTGGAATCCTATTTTCTTTTCACTAGCCAGAAAACAGTGATCTAGAAAGCTTAGAAACTTGACCCCATTGAAAAGAAGTAAGAAATGATGCACCTGGAAAATGACTTCAGGTTTTCTCACTGCACAGAATATAGTCAAACACTGCTGCAGGTTAATATTTTACCCTTTGTTCTCCCTGAGTGATCTACAGTAATAATCTGCTTCATATTGATATTTACTGCTGTGTTGCTGACAATTACCTGAAAGAGAAGTTGGGGTGCTTCACTGGGCTGGAAAACGTTTAGCTAAATCAGAAAGCAGGTCTAACTAAGCAAGTTTATGCTATATATATATAAAAGGCTAAGTTGACTCACGCATGTGCGATACATATAAAGCTCTCGCTGGCACCAATCGCACGTGTGTGTTTCCATCTGGCATGGTCGATCGTGAATTTGCATCCTCTTCAATTTTTTCTATTATAGAGAAAGGGCGAATAGCTATATTAAAATAGTTCTTCTAATTAATTTCCTTTCAATGTGCACCAATTCATGCACTGGGCCACTAGTACATATATGAAAGCAGAGCTATTTGGGTATGGATGGCAGAGATTCATACGTTTAAAAAAGAAACTATCAGTACTACTCATAAAAAGGACAGCAACTTGAATGAACTTCAAGGGAATTATACTGAGTGAAAAAGCCCACCTCTAAAGGTTACAAACTGTATGGTTACATTTATATAACATTCTCCACATGGCAAGATTATAGAGATGGAGAAAAAGATCAGTGGTTGCCAGGGCTCAGGGACAGGGGGAGAGAGGAAGGTGGCTGTGGCTATAAAAGAGTAACAGGAGAGATCCTGGGAGGGGAACACTTTCGTCTTGGCAATGGTGGTTACAGATCTCATCTATCTATCTATTTATCTATCTACTGTGTGTGTGTGTGTGTGTGTGTGTGTGTGTGTGTGTATGTGTGTTTGACAAAACTGCACAGAACTAAACACACACAAATGAATGCACAGAAAACTGACAAAATTCAAATATGGCTATGATTTGTGTCAGTGTCAATTTCCTCGTTGTGAAACTGTACTAGTTTCCAGTAAACACGGCTCCAGCAGGCGTGAACAGGTGGCATGGGCTGCGATTCCCTGCAGGTGACCCGGCCAGCCGCACTGGGGCGACACCTCCGGGGTCACCCACCAATGAGGTTCGTTCCCCCACCATAATTGGATCAGATTGGTGTAGGGAGCACAGAGCCACTAACCCATGGTCTAGGAATGAAGGGAAACTTGGAAGGTGAAGTAGGAGCGACAGGAGGAGACAAGCATACAAGGTCAACGACTGGAGCAGAAGTCAGGTGTGAACGCCCACCGGCCGAGTTTACTCAATGACCTTGCTTCTCAATGGCTTTGCCCACTCCCTCTGCGTTGGGACCCGAGACCCACTGTGTTTTTGGACGAGAGGTGAGTAGAGAAGGGGGGGGCAGGGATCCAGTCCTCGCAGGGGACGGTCCGGGACTCTGCTCTGCGCAGCTTGGTTGCTCCAGGGACTGCTGCGGCCGCACTAGGACCCCCTGCGGCTGCCGGGGCTTTTTTCAGAGGGGATGCTGAGTCACAGATCTGTCACGCTTCTCACCTCTCCCCAGCCCTCCGGGGGCTAAAGTAAAAGCGAAAGCGAATGCGACTCGCGGGGCGGCTAGTCCCGAGAACTGTGCCCGTTGCCTCCTCCCGGACCCTTGGGCATCTGCAGGTGCCGGCGAGGGCGAGGGCGAGGGCGCAGGCGAGATTGAGGCCATGGCCCGCCACCCGCTCCGGGACTGCTGGGCCAGAGAACTCCCCGTGCTGCTGCTACTGCTGCTCCGGTCGCCGCAGACGCCGGGTAGGGAGAGGCGTGCGCCCTTGGGGCGGCGGGAGGAGGCCCGGGAGCCGCAGGGGGACTGCGCTGAGCTCTCCACCTACAGCGGTGGGGAATCGGTGGGGTAGGAAAAGGTGAACCGCCGGCCAGGGAGGGGGCGCGGCACCCGCGTGCGGGGAGCACGTGGAGGGAGCAGTGGCTAGGAGCAGAGCGCCAGTCTCTGCGCCCCGACCCACCCCCAAGGGAGGGAGCTGCGAGGCCAGGCTTTTAATACAACTTCTTCCCGATTTCCAAGGCAAAGGGGGAAACCCGGGGCTTGCAATGGGGTATCCGAGTTGGAGTTTTACAGCAATCCCGAGAAACCATGAGCGCGGTTCTCCTAGCCCCAGAAGGAAAGCTGTACAAATGTTGCAAAGCAGGCAGTCCCCGCAGAGGTCGGGGAAGACGACCCCATCAATACCCTCAGACAAAAGCAAATAACAAGCGTAGGTAGTAGGATCGGCTAGGGGCTGCGTCCCTGGGGAGAGAAAAGGCGTCGGCCAGATTGCACATCTGGGAACCTGGAAACAACTCCAATTCTTAAGCAGCTGGGAACTGTGCCAGGGCGCAGGAGAGTGGGGCAGCATGGAGTAAATGCTCCCAGGCAAAGGCGAAGAAATGAAATTGTTGGTGATGGTTTGGTGTAGGTCGCATAGATGTAATCTCAGCGGAAAGCATAGAATAAGTGACGAATACATTTTTCTCCTGGGAGATAGAGAGGAGGAAGAAGAAATAATAGATGTGTCTGGATTTACCCACGTTGGCTCTTCTTAATCTTTTTAGTCTGGGAGCTCTTTGAGGGGTCTGATGAAAGCTATGTACTCTCTCCCCAGGAAAAAAAAAATGCATAAATACATATACTTACAAAACTTGCATATGATTTTGAGGTCATGGACCCACTGAAAGGCATCCATGGGCTCCTCGGGGATTAGCAAATCCGTAAGATCTCTTACTTCCTTCCCCCTCGGGTGTGTGTTTAAGGCAAGACTCCCAATCATTTACATCCAGTCAGTCAGTCAGACCAGTCTAGCCAGTACTTGATCAGAGCCATCCATCCTGGCTGGGTTGGTGTTAACTCCATAGCTCTGTGGATTCCATGAAGTTTTGTTTTCAGAAGACTATGTTTGGACTTCTCCCATATCTGAGAATGTGAGTTATGTTGGTGATTTGTTCAGGTCCTCCCAACTGGCTAACCAGTGTCCTGCATGCTCCCTGAGGAGATGTAGGAGACAGCCAGTGGCCTGGGGCAACTCGATAGCACAGCATGAAAGGAAACGCAGCTTTAGTCAGAACCCAGCAAAGATGAGCTGTCAAAGTGCAGAGAGCAAAACTGCAGTCAAGATTTTTAAAGCTCATCAACTACAGCATTGCTCTTTAACCTCACAAGGTTCTTGCTACCATATGATAACTCCTCATGTTTCTTAGTTTTTCTTAAACAGCTTTACTGAGGGATAATTGACAGATAAACTGCATACATTTAAATTGAACGATCTGATAAATTTAAAGTTAAATGTGTACACTCATGAATCAATCACCACAATCAAGAGAATAAACATAATCATCATTACCAGAAGTTTCTTCATGTCCTTCATACTCCTTACCTCCCAATGGGCTGTCACCCAGGAAAACACCATCTGCTTTCTGTCACTATTAATTTGTTGTATCTTCTAGAATTTTATATAAATGCAACTATAGTATATGCTCTTTCTTGCCTGGATTCTTCCTTTCATTATAACTACTCTAAGAATCCATCCACACTGTAACTTGTATCAATAGTTCCTTTCTTTTTATTGCTGAGTACTATTCCATTGCATGGATATCACAGTTTGTTTACCCATTCACTTGTTACATGGACATTTACATTGTTTTGGTTTGGGGCTATTGCATATAGAGCTGCTATGAACATTCACATTTAGGTTCTTGTGTGGACATAGGCATTTATTTCTCTTTAGTAGAGAAAATGACTAGGAGTGGCTGGATCATATGACACATGATGTTTAATTTTTTTAAAAAAACTGACAAACCATTTTTCAAAGTAATTGTACTATTTTGCATTCCCAATAGCAGTATTGTTTTGGTTTGGTCTCTTTTTGTTTTGTTTGTTTATTTGTTTGCTTTTGTATATAACTATCCAATTGTTACAGCACCATTTGTTGAAAAGATTATCTCTGCTGAATTGATATTATAACTTTAAAAAAACACACACACAAAGCATCAGCTGTCCCTTTATGTTTGGATTGCTTGCAGTAGACAAAACACCAATATACAAATATCAATTATAGCTCTATACATTAGCAATAAGCAATTGGAAAATGAAATTTTTAAAAAATGTATAATTTGCTATAGCATCAAAAAGTGTGAAATACTTAGGGATAAATGTGACAAAAGACTAGAAAAGAAAAAAAAGACTAGAAAAGATCACCTGTACACTGAAACCTAAAAACTATTGCTGAGAGAAATTTAAAGATCTAACAAATGTGGAAATATACCATGTTCATGGAATGGGCAAATCAATATCATTAAGGTGGCAATTCTCCACAAATCAATATTCCAGCAGGCTTTACTGTAGAAATTAACAAACTGATTCCAAAATTCACATGAAAATGCAAAAGATAAAAAAAGAGAAAATGCAAAAGATGTAGTATAACCAAAAAAAATGAAAAAGAATGGAATTCGAAGAACAACACTTCTAATTTTGAGACTAATTATAAAGTTACAGTAATCAAGACAATGTGGTATTGGTAAAATGGATAAAGAGCTAACAGAGCAGAGGATACCTAATATTTTTTAAGTAGAAGAGATCCAAATTATTAAATTTGTTACTTGGTAATATGATCCTGGTTATCCTATATAATCCTATATCATAAAAGCCTGATATGCAAATTTGTCCCCTTGACCAGGAGTTCGACTGGGATTTCAACCAGGGGGCGGGGCCAGCCCACCAACCGTGGGAAGGGAGACCCCAGCCGCTGGCAGCTGGCAGCCTCTAGGGACCCTATCCATACACAAATGTCATGCACTGGGCCTCTAGTAAAGTATAAAGAGCAGCCCATTTCTTATCCCTAGGTGAGAAAATAATACAGTCTCAGATCTGTTCCTGCTAGTTTACAGACAGCAAGTTGCATCTGTCTGTTCTTATTCAAAAGGCCTGATTTGGAGGGAAATTCATCATCTTGGGCAGGTCATTTGTTTAAAGATGAATATCCCTGCTCACTAGTGCTGGTTTGTACAGAGTGTTAGTGTATTGGGGGGTGGTTAGTGTATTGGTGGTTAGTGCATATGGGAGAACATATTCACCAATGATTCATTGATAAGGGGTTAATCCCCAAAATATATAAAGAACTAATACAACTTAACGCCAGGAAGACAAACAATCCAAAAATGGGCAAAGGACCTGCATAAACACTTCTCCAAAGAGGACATACAGATGGCCAAAAGACATGAAAAAATAAGCAACATCACTAATCATCAGAGAGATGTAAATTAAAATGACAATGAGGTATCACCTCACACCTACCAGAAGTGCTAGTGAGAATGTGGAAAAAAGGGAACCCTAGTTGGTGGGAATGCAGATTGGTGCAGCCACTGTGGAAAACAGTATGGAGTTTCCTTAAAAAAATTAAAAATGGAACAGCCTTTTGACTCAGCAATCCCACTTCTGGGTATATATCATAAGAATCCCATAACACCAATCAGAAATAATATATGCACCCTTATGTTCATAGCAGCATTATTTACAATAGCCAAGATCTGGAAACAGCCCAAGTGCCCACAAGTATATGAATAGATATAAAAGCTGCATGACATTTACACAATGGAATACTACACAGAAGGAACTCTTACTCTTTGTGGCAGCATGGATGGACCTGGAAATTATTATGCTAAGCGAATTAAGCCAGTCAGAGAAAGACAAATACCATATGATCTCACTAATATATGGAATCTAATGAACAAATAAACTGACAAACAAAATAGAATCAGAGGCATGTATACATGGAACAGATGGACAGCTGTCAGAGGGGAGGGGGATGAAGGTGACTAGATAAAGGACAGTGAAGGGATTAGCTAAGAAACATATATGCACAGCCCATGGACACAGACAATAGTTTGGGGAGGGAAAAGGGAGAGATGGTGGAGTCAGGGTAGATGTAGGCAAACGGGGAGGCCGAATAGGGGACATTTGTAATAGTGTCAACAATAAAAATTTTTAATTAAAAAAATTTAAACCATTTTTCAGAACTATAGGGGGGGGGTTGCCCAAACCTTTTATTATTTTATTTCAAATCAGTTTTATCTAGTTATTATTGCTTTGTGCTACTACTGATAGCAAAAAAGTGATAAAAACATAAGTGTACAAAAAATATAGGATTTTTTAAAATCAACCTAAATGTTTAACAGTGGAGGACTGCATAAATACAATGGAGTTGCTTTCAAATAGTATGCATCATATGATTCCATTTTTACTAGAAGATCTAGAAGTAACTGTATTAAGCAGAGAGATATGGATTGTGTCTGTGTGTTTGTCTGCCTTTTCTCGCTTTTCTATCATATTTTGAATTGTGCTTAGCCAGTTAGCTCAATTGGTTAGAGGATGGTGCTAATATTTTCAATTGTTTTGTAATAAGAAAAGTAAAATAAAACCACAAAATAACACAATCAAGATCTAGAATTTTGGAGTTTTTATCATTCATTTTAAATTATAGCTGATCTCCTTGTTTGGCAATGTTTTCATGACTTTACATATTTTTCAAATTGCTCAAAATAAATTATTATAAGGTCACTGCATATAACATTTGTGCATACTATACATACACAAAGGATTTTATAATCCTTTACAATTTGTTTAAACAATTCTTATTGCCCTGGATAGTGTGGCTCAGTTGGTTGGAGCATCTGGTACACCAAAAGGTGGCGGGCTACATTCCTAATGAGGGCACATACCCAGGTTGTGGGTTCAATCCTCAGTCCAGGCACATACAGGAGGC